AAAGAGCTTTTACCTATTTCAAAAGTTTGGGTGATGCAACTTCTGAACCAGTTATTACAAAACGAATGCCTGTGGCATTCCAAGAATCATGCTGGATTCTGTGTAGGTAAAGACATTTAAGACAGCCCAACACATAAAAAATTCGAAGGCAATGTTAAAAGAAAAAAGAACTTTTCCTGAACAAAAGGTTTCATTTTACCACCAACAAGGTGGTACTAGTCCCGTAATAAGCCCACAGAAGATGAGCCTGATGCTTTTCACTCTCATTCTTGTCCCTGTCCTTGTCCAGATGCACAGCTTACAGGTCAGTAGGGAATGGGCAGTCGTTTTGTGCCTGCTTTAAATACTTCAATCTACTCATTTTAAAGTATAGTGACTCACTCGAAATTTTGATTGGAATAAGGCAAAAGCTCCATCTGACTGGAGACTAAGGTGTGGGAATTCAGGTAGAATGTTCCCTCTTCTATGCCTGCAGTATTTTATCTCAGAACAAGGTGGGGAGTTAAAAAGGACATGAAGAGGGGCGTCTGGGTGGCTCAGTGGGTTAAAGCCTCTGCTTTTGGCTCAGGTCATGATCCCGGGGTCTTGGGGGTCCTGGGATCGAGCCCCACATCAGGCTCTCTGCTCAGCAGGGAGCCTGCTTCCTCCTCTCTCTCTGCCTACTTGTGATCTCTGTCAAATAAATAAATAAAATCTTAAAAAAAAAAAAGGACACGATGAAAAATCAACTTCCAAGTGAATACTGTGTTCACTTCAAGTAAATTACACCAAAATGGAAAAAAAACCCCTTTTCATATACTGTTTACTCTATCCTTCAAAATAGTTTCCTTTTACTTTGTTTCTTATTCCCCAAACTGACTTTTCAAAAAAGATTTAATATTTTTATTCAGGTGTTGGTAACTTAATTACTGAAAATAATGTGATCTAGAAATAAGTAAATAATGAATGTCATATCCTATTAACAGAGTTCTCCCTAAAAAAGGGAATAGCTTAGAATTCTGTTTTAGGGAGCGCCTGGGTGGCTCAGTTGGTTAAGCGACTGTCTTCGGCTCAGGTCATGATCCTGGACTCCCAGGATCAAGTCCCGCATCAGGCTCTCTGCTCTGCAAGGAGTGAGTCTGCTTCTCCCTGACCCTCCCTGTCTCTCATGCTCTCTCTCTCTCTCATTCTCTCTCTCAAATAATAAATAAATAAAATATTAACAACAACAAAAAAAGAATTCTGTTTTAGATACCATTTGGTTACTTCCCCTCCCTCCTCACTAAGGAAATTCATTACTTTTAATTAAAAGGATAGTTGCACCATGGAAAAGCCATACACATCAGCGAAGAAATACTATGCATATTCATACAAGGGAGGCTTGAAATATTCAGGTATAGGTTTTCCTACACTTGAAATTTCTCATGTTCACAAAACAGGAAGGAAAGACAAATTCTCGTGCAAAACAGTATCAGCAACTTTCAGCCACAGCATCAAAATAGGAAGTTAGCCAGCAGACACTTTGCAGCCAAGCTAGATTCTAAACAAAAAGTCTCTTCTGTACAAAGAAAAATGTTTTGCTTTTGTTAAAAAAAAGGCTGTAACTGGCAAATTTTTTTCCCTCAAATGCTTGCCCCAAAGTTCAGTGTTTAACTTCCTATTCCAGATGCCTACTGCATTACTCAAATTGAATGCAAATGTTCATTACTGCAAATGTGCTTCCAGTTCCTCAGCTTCCCCTCTTTCCCATCTTATTTTTATCTACTTTTTCTCCAAGTTTTCTAAAGAAAAGCAGTGTATGTTTCAGCCTCCACTCTTATCAAAGGTTTCAGAAGTAGAAACCAAATTGCACTTTGATTTTGTGCTCATGGAGGGAGCACAGACCCCCATGATACTAAATTACATCACTAACAGCAATGATATGGCTAAAATAGTAATTTCTGCCTCTTCCCCTGCTCTTGTGATTGTAACATTAACCTCAAAATGACACCTCTAAAAATATCTGCAAACCCTAAAATACAACTAATATACTTTTTATCATCGTTACCGTAAGGCAGTGCTTATGAGCATGGACTTTGGAGTCCTACATCTGTCATTTATTCACTCTGTGATCTTGAGTAAGTTACTGCACCATTTTAAACCCATGTCAACTGGTAAATGAGCTAGTAACCTTTCCTCCATGAAACTGGCTGGATTAAATGAAATGATTCACATAAAGTACGGAACACAGTAAAAGCTCAATAAAAACGAGCCACATCCTATGTATGCATCTGTTAATATCTTTATTTTACATTACAGGAAAACACCATTAAAATTTATTCCCCTATTTTGAAACACTTAGGGATTAGGCTGAAATTAAATTCTGTTTGATAAGAAAAAAGGAATCAATGAGAAAAGACTACAAAGGACCTACTTAGGAATACAACTTATTTAAAAAGAAACTGATTATTCTAATACGTCATTACAAATGTATTTAATGGCTGTCAAAAAGTTTGCTTTGCTACCTTAAATAGCTGTCTACTTCAAAGTACTACAATTTAATAAATATTACATAATTTTCTTTTGAAAATTTAACTGCCCTTCCTTTATCCAGCCCACAAATTAGTGGCAGTTTTTTGTACATTAATCTCCCTGGAGGCCAACAACAACTATTTCAGGATCGAAGAGGTCATTCTCAAACATGAAAATGTCGTACTTAATAATTGTTACTATGGGGGCGCCTGGGTGGCTCAGTGGGTTAAAGCTCTGCCTTGGCTCAGGTCATGATCCCAGGGTCCTGGGATTGAGCCCCACATCAGGCTCTCTGCTCAGCGGGGAGCCTGCTTCCTCCTCGCTCTCTCTGCCTGCCTCTCTGCCTACTTGTGATCTCTGTCAAATAAATAAATAAAAAATCTTATTAAAAAAAACTGTTACTATGGCTTAGAGATCTAAAAGCAAGGCACCATTCTCCAAGGCAAAGTAAATGCCTGAGAGTTAAGGAAGCCAGAGACAGATGAGTTAGTTGGGTTAATGCCAGTGATGGACTCAAGGTTCCTCTTGGTGGCAGCAGCCACTGTGAAAGCTCTGCATTGGGCCAGACTGGTCCCAGCTATTCTCCCCAAAGGGTTTTAATCCAGTGAAACAAGGACACCAACATCCTCTTTCCTTATTTTTATAAGGCACACTAGAAGCTACCATTCTTGGCTACTCTGGAATGGAATGCACCTAATCACTTGCCAAGGTGTTTCCTCAAACAACAGGCTGATTCTAGACCTGCCAGTGAAGTAGAGCACCTACTGGGTCACTTTTCCATTACGTGTTTTTTTTTGCAGGAGAAAAACGCTAGTGGTAATAGCGGCTAGACTGGAACACCTTCAGGGATATGGCTTTTTTAACGGCCTCTTTATAATACTCGTTTAACAATAACATTATCCTGAATCTGCACTGCTCAAAATAACTTTTTAAGCAAAAAGGAAAAATGGCAAATCTATTTTCCTTTACAAACTTTCATATTCACTGTGACACTGAAGCCTACTTAAATGTTAGTTTTTAATTAGCAAAATCCTTTTTATTTACTTCTATTCTACTTGAATGTGTGTGTAATTTTTTAAGCTATGACACTTATCTTGTCAACATTCCATACATTAGGTATGTTGTACTTGGCTTGCATTGTTACACTATTTAGTATACCAATTATCCCCTTTTGTACGGAAAAAGTGGTTGAAGGTTATAACCATGAAGAATGTATTTTAAAAGATCTGAAATATTTACAATAGAGAAAATGTAATCATTTGTTACGTTATGCTATTTTTACCAGTTTATCTTCCAGATAAACTGGAATATAATACCCACTTGCCTAAATTATTAAATCACTCATAAGGAAAAAAACTCTTAAAATCAATCTGGTTGGATTTCAGATGTCCAGTCACTTTGTGGGTTTGAGTTATTTTTCTAATATTCACAAAATATCTACTTTTAATGTAAACACTTAATTTCAAAGGTCATGATTTGACCCACAAGTTACCCAAATTCATACAATGAGACACATTACAAAGGGGCCGGGGAACCTAATATTATCAGCCTGATTTAAAAGCAACAAATTATCTACCATGTTTCATAAAAAATATACTACATTCACTTTATCCCATTACGTTTTCATTCTTAGAAGGTCAAAGCCTTCCTATCAAACCAGCATCCAGACTTTACATCTAGAGAATTCCAGCTGGGACAATAATCTGTTTGCACAGGGCTTTTCAGACCTATCTAGTGAGTTTAATTACCTTTTTTAAAAATAAGCATTTCCCATTGACCTATATTTTAGGTTGACTACAACCACACAAATGAAACTGCTTTATTATTAGTGTACCAGAGCATAGTGCTCTCTCTTGCAGATTCTTGGTAGTGCTACCCCAACAAACATATAGCTATCACACTTGATTCCCTTTTTCACTGGCCGGCAGATTAGACAAACCACCCCACAAAGCTACAGCTTAATCTCTAGGAAAACAAGCCTGCTTGCCAAAAAGTCAACTGACTTGTTCAGTGTTCCCAGGCAATTTGGAACCAGCCTAGCTCTTGGGACAAATCTCAGATAAATTCACACTGAAGTACTCCAGCTCAGTTAGTGTATTGGTAGTTCAGTGGAAGCACACTTTTATACTGTTTTTTTCCAAATCCACTACCACTGCAAACCAGTTACATAATTGCAAATCAATATGTTAAATGCATCCTACAGTGGGTTGTTTTATGAGCTACAATTCTGTCTGCTCTAAATTCTGTGGGTGAGTTTATAATTTTTAAGAAATGCTTAAAACTATACCTAAAGTTTATGCCCTTTAAAGGGTTCACCTAACTAGTCTTACCCTATTTTATTAACCTTTATAGGAAATCCAATGCAAACTACCAAATATGAAGGTCTGGCTTGTAGTTTGTATCTCAAGGGATTTGGGAGCAATAAAAAACTTGTGCCTCATATCCCCAGTTACAGCCTCTTTCTCAACATTTTTCTTTTATTAATGCACACAAAAAAATGACAGACTTGCCTTGTGAGGTCGAAAATAGAGATACAGGCTGAGAGGAAGAGGAAGAAACAAAGGAATCTGAAAGAAAATATAGAGCGTGAGAATTTGACAACCTCACACAGGAATTTTAACTTTAACTCTCCAACTTTTTTTTTTTTTTTTTTTGGTCAAGCATTGTAATTTCATTGGGTTTAAGCAAGAGGGGAAAACTCATATCTTTATTTCCATTTACTGTTTTCACTCACCTGGCAGCAAAACCTTATTTCATTTTCAAGTTGCATTTCTATAAGTTAATCAATTCAAATGTTTTGGTCATATATTCTCACCTTCAAAGAAAAAAGAGGAACCTCTAGCATTTTTAAACAAGTATAACCTCAAGAAAGAGGATACTATCCTGCAACTCTTTGACTCTTTGCAGGAAAGAAAAAAGAGGTACCTGAGTACTAACGGAAATTTGCTTTTAACCATTCTCAACTGCATTTTGAAAAGTTAGTCACTAATACAACCATTTAAAGGTATATACTTGGCAAATATGCAAAGTAGACCCTGAATACTTAAAAAAAATATCACAAATAATCCATTAGGAAAATAGGACTGCATGAGAAATATTCCACCTTCTAAAATTATACTCCTCTCAATTTGGAAACATTATCAAAATTATAAATGCATGTACTGTCCCCACCAGTAATAGTCATCCTTTTAATTTGGCCGGTTACACCTCGAGGAATTTAACCTACAATATTAGCATAGAATACAAACACATGTATATGAGAATATTTGTATGAGCACTGGTTACAAGTATTAGGAATACTCTAAGTGACCACCAATAGGAGACTAGTTACATCCAAACAAAGGAATATGGTTTGAAAAAGTACGCTACGAAAAGCTGCTACGAAAAAGAGTAAAGAACAGCTATGTATGTTGATATAATTGGAGAAATTAAAAAAGTGAAGTATAGAAGTGTACATATGTGCCCCCCTTTGGTTGCTAGCAATAGGGACTTTGATGTCTGAAGTGGGGGAGATCTGCTTTTCAGTATGATCTTTGGCCCTTTAAAAAACAAACAGAGCATATACATTACCTTTTCTTTTTTCTTTTTTTAATTTAAGATTTTTATTTATTTATTTGACAGAGAGATCACAGTAGACAGAGGCAGGCAGAGAGAGAGAGAGGGAAGCAGGCTCCCTGCTGAGCAGAAAGCCCGATTCGGGACTCGATCCCAGAACCCTGAGATCATGACCTGAGCCGAAGGCAGCGGCTTAACCCACTGAGCCACCCAGGTGCCCCTATACATTACCTTTTCACTAAAAATGGAAAAAATTAATAAAAATAGAATGTGAAAAGCAGCCCCCCAACAAAGTGTCCCTAAATATACTGGCCTTTACTCCTTTTTCCTTGCAATTATAAATGCTTTCACAAATATTCGAAGTATACTTAAAATAGGGAGCTTGATTGCTTTAAAGGACTGGGCTATAACTTGCATCAATAAGTACGAATTTATTTCGTGAATAAATATGGAGCACAGGAGGGGGCGCCTGGGTGGCTCAATGGGTTAAGCCTCTGCCTTCGGCTCAGGTCATGATCCCAGGGTCCTGGGATCAAGCCCCGCATCGGGCTCTCTGCTCAGCAGGGAGCCTGCTTCCCTCTCTCTCTCTCTCCGTCTACCTCTGCCTACTTGTGATTTCTCTGTGTCAAATAAATAAATAAATAAATAAATAAAATCTTAAAAAAAAAATATGGAGCACAGGAACAGCAACGGAGAGCTTAGTGGAGCACAGGCACAATTCAGTAACTCAGGACCAGAATTTTTAAAATACACTGCTTTTTAATTATATTAAGCTGAAGAATCACATTTGCCACCACAAATGAAAAACCATTCTTTTTGGTTGTTTTTGTCTTGTTTTAGTAATCTCTACCCTCAACATGGGGCTCAATCTCTCCTCCTGAGATCAAAGGTCGCATACTCCGACTGAACCAGCCAGGTGCCCCATCTCCTTTCCTTTTCTAAAGCAAGTGTTTCTATGTTTCTTCAGTGTTTCAGGATGGGTTCATCCCTCTATTTACCTTCAACATTAAATCTCTCCCAGCTGATGAGTTTAAGTCTGAATAAACCTAAAAAAACAAATGCTAATATGTTTAGCCCACAGCCAAAAAGGATCCTATGAACTTGACTATCCACCTCCACCTAACACCCCCTCATAACGGAAAATTTCAACATAAAAATTCTTATACATAGCATCTATTCTAATACAAAACACAGATAACCAGTGACAGTTTCTGACAATATTGCATGAGATCTTCTAACTAACAAAACCATACTGTATTCATATTCCATATTAATACCATAGGAAACTAATCTCAAGAATGGTGATCTAGGGGTGCCTGGGTGGCTCAGTCATTAAGTGACTGCCTTTGGCTGGGGTCATGGCCCTGCGGTCCCGGGATCATGCCCAGCATAGGGCTCCCTGCTCAGCAGGAGGCCTGCTTCTCCCCCTCCCACTGCTTGTGTTCCCTCCCCCCCCCTTTCCCCCCTTTTCAAAAAAAATTTTTAAAAAAAAAAAAAAAAAAAAAAAAAGAATGGTGATCTTAATTCTCATATGCTATTACTTAAATCAAACATTATCATTCAGTAACAACAGTAACCATTAGCTGGGTCCAGGCATTGTATCGGCACTGGAACACCAAGATGACAGCTATGCCCACAAGTAACTGAAAGAGAAATACAAACCAGTAAAACTGCGTGAGTTGTGGGACTGCTGCAGAGGCAGGTCACTAGGGTACACTGCAGAAGAGATGGTAAACTTGGTCTTCACGGTCAAGTGACCATGGCAGAGGAAGGCATTCTGGAAAGAAGGAATAACTGGCCAAATTCTAAATGACTCTAAATGTCATGTTATGAAATTTGGATTATATCCTATATGGGATGAGGAATCACTGAGAATTTTAAGGTAAGGGATTGACAATATCACATGTGTTTTAAAAAGAACTATGGCAGCAGGTAGAGCCCTAGACTTAATTGAAAAGCTACTGTATAATCTTGGCTTCAGTTTTTTATTTGTTTAGTAGACTAGTAAAAGGTCTATTAGAGACTGGTTAAATAAATTTCAATATATCCATACAATGGTACACCATTCATTAAAAACTGCTGTAGATAGGAATTTACAGACACTAAATGATGTTGATAGCACACTGAATAAAGAACACTGAAAAATTTCAACAACAGGACCCCATTTTGGTAAAAAAATACAAATTCACGTAAGAAGAAAAAGTAAATGATATTCACTAAGTAGAGTGATTATGAAAATTAAAAAAATATGTTTTCTTCTGTGTTTGAGATTTTGAAAAGAATGAACATGTATTCTTATTTCAAAAAAGTTTATCAGTTTGTTACAAATGAAAGGATAAACACGAAAATGTTAACTGGGTGGTACTACTCACTGATTTTTAATTTTCTTTGTATTTTTAATTTTCCTGAATTTTGCTATGGACATACATTTTTCAAGAATTATAAATTCTGGGGTGCCTGGGTGGTTCAGTGGGTTAAGCCTCTGCCTTCAGCTCAGGTCATGATCGCAGAGTCCTGGGATCCAGCCCTTCATCGGTCTCTCTGCTCAACAGGGAGCCTGCTCCCCCCACCTCTCTCTGCCTACCTCTCTGCCTACTTGTGATCTCTCTGTCAAATAAATAAATAAATAAATAAATAATTATAAATTCCTGGGACACCTGGGTGGCTCAGTCAGTTAAGCATCTGCTTTCAGCTTGGGTCATGATCCCAGGGTCCTGGGATCGAGTCCCACATCGGGCTCCTTGCTCAGCAGGAGCTGAGCAACCTGCTTCTCCTTCTCCTGCTCCCCCTGCTTGTGCTCATGCTCTCTGTCAAATAAACAAACAAAATCTTAAAAAAAAAAAAAAAAGATAAATTCCTAACACATATCTATTCCCTTCTTCAAGGAACAGATTAGCAACCTTAGAGAAGAAAAGGGACACCTAAAATGGGATCTCTTACCAGGTCTTTCAATAAAACTTGAGTAAATTATCTTTTCAGTGTTCACACCACTAGATTTTCAAATCGTCCTAAGACTTCAATCTACAACAAACTGTCAAAACTACCCCCCCAAATCCTGCCTCTTTGAAAACAGGTCCTTCCATTTACTGAGTCCTGAATATCTGTGATAGACACTAACCTAAATATTTATATACATATTAAATGAAATCCTTACAAAACTCATTTAAGATTAAGAAAAAAAAAACCACACAAAAACCTGAAGCTTTTATCAATACTTAAACCTGCACTTTTCTTGAAAATCTGTGGCTTTCTTTCTCTATCATCCTATCCACCAGTCACATCACCTGTCCTGATATTGCTGATCTGAAATGCATATGCTACTGACCTAAAAATTTACTAGTTTGTATTTTAAAACTCCATCAGACCAGTAAGATAAGACCTTGTCCCCTTACCTCTTAACCCTTCTCTCCAGCAGCATATGGAGTGGGTAAGAAGTGGAAAACAGGAGGAAAAAGACCAAATGGCACACTGGTGTAGGTTTTCAAATTTGGGTCAAGCCTGTGCTAGATATTGTTAGGGGGAGAGGAAGAGAGGTGTGCTGGACTGGACATGAGACTCCAGTTTTGACTGGTACGGGGGGAAAATAAACCAAATAAATCTGTTTGAGTTTTCTAACCCCCGGTAAAAACATTGTTCCAATGAACTGTTCATTTTGGTGAAAACTGCCCTTTAACACCAACAGAAGACAAACTGTATTTTTAGAAAAGCAGCAAGGTTACGTTTAGGAACAACTTCATACAATGAATGACTTCCATATTTAACCTCAAAATGTCTGCCTTTTTGTTAGTTTCCACAGATTATTAAAGCATCTTCCAACACATAAGGAAAAGCAGTGTCTGAAATTTTATCTAAAATTAATACAATGAAAATTAGAAATTCATTAGCTCTTTCAAACATCCTTTCTTTCCACCTTTAAAAGATTTTTGTCATGGGGCCGCTGGGTGGCTTAGTCAGTTAAGTATCTGCCGTGACTCAAGTCATGGTCCTGGGATGGAGCCCCATCGAACTCCTG